ATTTTTGGGTTGTGGAATGAATCATCTGAGTTTCCATTATTTCTTATAGAGAAATTCGCTTTGATATACAAGTGCTTTGGATTACAAGCGTGTTTCTGGAACAAATTATATTCGCAAACCAAGGTTTTACTGTACTTCAGAATAGACTTGTCTTTATTCCTGCTACCGGGATAGCTGTAGTTTCTCCCTCAATCCTGCCTCCATTTCAGCCACTTGCTTTCACTGGTTTCTTCTTCTTATTCATTAGATTTAATGGTATCCTTGGCCCTCCCCCTGCTGACTTTCATTTACATGTAATTATTAATGAAAAAATCCTCATGTATCTTTTGGATAATATGGTACTTAGACCAGTATTTATTCCAGAAACTTTAGGAGTGATTTAAAAAAAAAATCAAATGTTATACTGAGTATTTATTTATTTTATATCCTTCCTTTGTTCAGGTTCTCAAATTAGCATACATAATATTTGTCAACCTTATATTTGATTAAGAAACAAATGCCATATGAGTTTAAAACTACTTGTATTAGAACAGCTATAGTAACAGTATGAAATATGCTTCCTTCCTCCCTCACTTTATCTTTGTGTAAATTAGGGAGGGGCCTGTCTGAGGCATTTTCTTAAGTTTGTTTCTTGGAATGGGTTTAAGCTGTACATGTCTGATCGTTACCTTGGTAATGGATCTTCCTGTTGTCCTTCAAGGCCATTCTCTATGCCCTCTGCCTTTCTTCTTGTTTTTTGCATAACTACTACTCTGTGAAGTAGGTCAGGCTGAGAGAGAATGACTTGCTTACAGTCATCCAGCCATTCATGGCTTAGAGGTGACTAGAATGCAAGGCTCCCCAGTGACAGAAATTCAGTGCAAAACTTCAGGGCAACTGTGTCCCCCAAACAGAATCTTCTCATTTTTTCCAAGTGACAACATATGCCATTTCTTTAAAGGCTCCGCAGCTTAACCTTCCCTAATCTGGGAATCCTCCAAATGTGAGAACCAGCTCCCAGTGCATTGGGACAGT